ATTGAGAAAAATATTTTTTACATTACAAGAAAACAAATCAAAAATGCAGTTTTTTTCAAAGAGAAACTAAATTTTTAGGACCCACATTAGCAACAGAAGGCATCAAGCCTAATCCAGATAAAATTTTAGTAATTCAAAAACTACCAATACCAAAAACTGAGAAACAATTAAAAGTATTTTTAGATGCAACAGGATATTACAGAAAATTCATGAAAGATTATTCAAAAATAGCTTATCCTATGATAAAATATTTAAAAAAAAGCAATAAAATAAATGCCAAAGACCCACAATATATTAAAAGGCTTTGAAAACTTAAAAGCACCGATTGCATCTCACCCAATTTTAAAATTTCCAGAGTATGATAAAGAATTCAGTATCACAACTGATGCTAGTGACTATGCCATTCGAGCAGTACTTTCACAGCAAGGTACACTGGTTGACCTTACATTTCAAGAACACTAAATAATCACGAGCAAAAATACTTGACTACAGAACAAGAGTTTTCAGCAGTAATTTTTTCAAACGCCGTTTTTTCAACCATATATTATATTTATGGCAATAAAGTTAAAATAATAACAGATCCAATCAAATATCTAGTTAATAAATATAAAGAAAAGGAATTTTCTTAACGCCACAGGGGGTTATTTATTATTGCAGGAACACAATAGAAAACGTGAATGGAAAAAATAATGTTGTAGCTGATTTCTTGAGTCGAATTGAGAACTCACCAAAAATAAAAGAAGGTAACGACAATGAAAGATTATATTATATACGCATAGCCCAAAAGCTCAGATGCAAAGACTTCATGGAAGAAAAATAGTTAAAATAAGCCCAATGGATGAAGAAGAAGAGAACGAGGAAACATTTAGAAAAAGTTTAAAAGGAAGCGGAATAGTGGGAATATTTTCAGAAGTGTCTGAAGCAGATTATCATAAAATACAGAAATTACTCATTGAAATGTTTGCTCAAGATAGAAGTTTAAAATTTATAAAATGCACAAAAATAGCCTCAGAAATAGAAGAACAAGAGGAATTACATAAACAAATATCACTGTTCCATACAAAGGATATCTATGCATAGTGGCATAAATGAAACCTATAATACATTATGAAATAAAATATATTATCCGAAATTCAAGGAAGAAATACAATTGATAATAAACTACTGCCATTTACACTTACACATTACTTACATCTATAACAGCGTATATCAAAAAAAGTAAGAAAATAGGCTTAATAAATATTGGGGGAACAGGCTATAAATGAATGTTTGGAGTTATGGATGATGATGACAGACAAGACATAGTGGACCATTTGAAAATTATTGAAGAAAATGGACATAATGATATTGTAAACTTAAATAAACAAATAGTAATTAATGAACATTTCAATGGGTCATTAAACCTATTAAAAGATACTATAGAATCAGATAGGAAAAAAACAATAGAAACTCTAAACAAAACAAATAAAGAAGAAAATAGAATTGAAAGAAAACTTTTGTATAATGACCATATGAGCAAACTGAAGTTTATAGAAAATAAAGTTCAAGAAACACAAGACAGTATAGCGGCAGCTAAATACATACAATATGGTACATCCAAGTATGTTAACTTAGGAAGAAATTGAAAAATACGAAATTGACTTTTATAAATTAAAATTGGCAAAAGTAGGATTAGTAATATACAAAAATAAAACAATAATATTCGCAATTCAGATATAACCTGTCGAAAAATTAAATCACAGTTACACACCAAAATTAACATTTAACCCAAAATTAACATACCCAAAATTTACACACCAAAATTAACATAAAATATATAATATATAGTAAAAGAAATTGAAGAATTAAAATACCATAGAAATGTATCATAGGGTATTAATATAACATTGATAATCATAGTAATGGTGGTAGTAGTAATCCTTGTAAGAATGGCAAAGAAGAAAACAACAAAAATAAAAATCGTAAATACAAGAACTCAGAAGAGTTCTTACAGTAACGCGGGGGAGTTGCGTCATCAGATGACTTCGCCACTCCTAAGCTGCCAACTTGTATATGCACTATACCTACATTGTAATATGCTATTGCAATAGCTTAATGAAATTCGATGCCACCGTTGGGTATATACCTATACATTTATATATATATATATATATAATATATTTCATATTGATTATCATATACATTTAATATCATATTACCACATAAAGAATATTTCATATTAATTATTTAAATTATGCCGAGTCGTCAATGTTGAGAGACGTCTAGTCAGCACAACGGCTCTAAGTAAATTAAACAAAATGTAATTTTATAATAAGTTAGAAAAATGTACAATAAACTAGACGGTAAACCGCACAGAACGGTACTTTTCCGTAGTTTTTTTATTCACACAAAATTAAATTACGTATTAAGAAGAATCAACTACCATAAGTTATACTTGAGAAAATATTTAGACACAAAAATATTTACACAGCTATGCCCTACGACAATATTACAATTTTGCTTACGTATTTGACAAGCTGCGTTGATGCTTTGGCTGATAGTATGTTATAAAAGTATTTAATAAATTTTACGAGAACGAGTGAGTTGATTTCTATACTTATGTATACGTGTCGATCGCGAAAGTAGCAGTAAAATGAAAATAACAATTGCTCGTCAAAAATTAATTTTTATACTCTTGCAAAATGTTGCTACAGAGAATAATAGTTTTGTTCACCTAACAGTTGTTTGTATCACCTAAAACTAATCAAGATAGATAAGGAGTTACATATGTATTTATAATTGAACAAGATGACGAGACAAGTTGAAATCCCGGTGACTGTCTGTCCGTCCGTTCGTCTGTGCGTGCAAGCGATAACTTGAGTAAAAATTTCGATATATTGATGAAACATTGCATTAAGGATGGGCATCTATGGTTGAAAAAATCTTACATAAGGTTAATGTACGTATCTCGTACACCTATAATAACCAAATTTGCTGAGGGAGAATCGCACCCTTTATAGCACCCCTACATACTCTGTGAAACAGGATCAATTCGGATTATAACACCGCCCGTTTCCCATGTAACGGTTTTGTTAAAAACTACTAAAAGTGCAATAAATCTGTAAATAAATGTGCCAGAGACATACAATTTTACACCCGAGATGATACGAGAGGGCTCTATGGAGCCTTAATTTTGAAGCGCCCACATTTAGTTGAAAACCAAATTCGGTACATAACATTATTCTGACATTCCCACTTTACGATGGAAATCAGACAAAAATCACGCCAACTTCCCATATAACACTATTTTAAATTCCATTTGCTTCTTTCATTTCCCAGTACACAAATCAAGCACCAATGAATATATCGGTATAAAACTTTGCACAAATAGTGCCTTTAAGCTATGCCATTTGGCGTCTAAAATTTGTCAAAATCGGACCAAAACTATCGGTCAATCTGTGAGATATGTTATAGCAATTCGGAGATAATCCTTTTCTGATCATAGGATGCCTGTACGGCTGACTTTAAACCGCATATATTGGCAAATATGACAGTTAAGTATAATATAAGTTAGTATTATAAGTATATATGATAGCAAATTTTAATATAATCCATTCACGAATGCAATGTTGAATTTTTTTGCAACATTTTTAAAATAAGGTTTTGCCAACACCTGAAGGTATTTCCCCGGCTTTAATCCTGGCAAGATTCAAATGTATTTAACCAACATGTATTGAGTCGATCCATAAGACATGTTCCTCTGCTACCTCTCTGGTGCCAACACTACAAATCTCAAGCACTGTTTCTTTAACTCTTTCGATATTATGTTATCGCCATATAAGGGTGGACAATTCACATGAGGCAAGTTTTTCATGACTTCACGACCTTCACTAAATGATTTGTGACATTCAGATAATTGTGTTCATGATAAAGTAAAGTTCTCAAAACATTTTCAACGTTCCATTGGAAACATAGAATTTAAACAAACTCGTGGATCAATTTTTTCATAAAATAAGTTTTAAGGGTTTTTCCTAACAAGTTAATCCCACCTTCGACAATTTTTTTTTTTATGAATTAAAAACTGGAGACAAGAAAAAAGTCGTCAGTCATTTTTCAATAATTGGTATATCCAAAATATGATTTCAATAGGGGGAGGCGGCGTGGGTAGTTGGAGAGGGCGGGAGAGGGCGTGCAGAGTTTGATTATTAGTAATATTATTTTTTTTTAATTATTATAATCATATAAAGTTAAAAAACAATTTCACTTTGATATAGGCAGTGAAAGGAATTTTGGCCGTCACATGGTCATTTACATCAATGTTAGTCCGCATGGGTAAACATTAGTTTAATGCCGGAAATATGAGAAATCGCTCACTGAATAACCTCAGCTTCCATAAACTAACTATATATAGGAGAGCAGCACTCTTGTCAAACAATTTACATGTAAAGGCAACAACAAAGTTATCGAGTTGAATTCGTACAAGAGAGTTAGCGAATACCTCATTAAAGTGGTATAGCCGCTATCCTCAATGCTACCTAATTTTGTTTTAAATATGTTTTTCTTTTTTTGCACATAAACATATGTTCAATTGAAAGAAATCACTGATCAGTCTAATAGCGCAATTCAGTAAGCAGTCTCTAGTTAGCCACTATTTGAGCCATTTTGAAGTAAATTCTCAATTTGTGATAAGTTACTATTCACAATACAGTCTCTAGTCTTTAATCACAAAATACTGACTCAAATTTGACCCCTGATAGTAAGCAGGTCACAAAGCGAATAAGAATTCTGGTTTTCTATTTTAAATATACTGACACTTACTTATAGAGATTGTCATATATATATATCGGTTGTCGATTTTTATATTTTAAAAGCAACTCAAACATGTAAAAGTTAAAAACAAATAAATTTAAAATAAATTTCGCAACTATTGTGATTCACAGTCAACATTTTATTTTTATTGGGAATTATGCTTTTTGACTGCTTTATAGAGAATTAAATATATGTTATGGACATGTTTATTTTATTTAAGTAACGAAATGTAACAGCTGATTAGATCTGTTCGTTTTCAGTTGAGAGGTTTTTGTGACTGACACGTACTGAATTGCAAAATCGTCTCAAGTCACATAAATTGTCTCTAATTTAAAATCTCAAATTTAGAGACTTGTGACTGCATCAAAGTACTGGATTGGACATACATATCTCCCAATACAATAAGGGACAGATCTCTGAAGGGCATCAAATCCAGCAATACGGTAATTAAACCCCTACTTTCAAAACACACATTGGGAAATGCAAAGGTGCAGAAAAAAATCAACCGTGATTGAAGCAATGTAAGATCATATTTACAGATGAGTCACCTTTTTTATTGTTCAACCACTTGAGACGTGTTTGGCTAAACAATCAATAAATGTCAACTATAACAAAACAATCTATTATCTATAATTACAACATTTTTCCCAATAAACGCCACCTACACTTTGGAAAACGAAAACGCACTGTATGTATATACTTTTAATTTTTTAATAACTAAATACTGTAATTAATAACAATGTTTTTCAATAAGCCTAGTTTAAAAATTCTAAATCTTTCATTTCGATTGTGGGCGTTAATTTCGAAATACGGATTAATGACTTTTTTACTTATGACTTAATGTTTCAAAAAAAAAAATTGGTTTGGTCCAATACCGAGGCAAATACCAAGGCGATTGTAGTAAAGTGTTATTAAACGATGGCCTTAAGAATTTAGAGATCGGTATTGATTCAGTGGTATGGCACCTTATTTACCAAATCCTTACCTCTAGTAGCATTAAACATCGCAGCTCTTATATTAAGATAATGATTATCCTTGATTTCAAATCACGCAAAACCAATTTTGAAATAAATTAATCATTTCTTCGTACATGTCAGGATTTTATATCTCATACCAACACATTCGATTTATCAGACTCAGTATTTGGCATTAAAAAAATGATTATAACATCTCTAAATAAATTTCATGCTTCATTATTATCATATCTTTTAATGTTATATTAACTCTTAGCTATTGAGATTTTTCGATAACAAGTCGCTTAAACAGCTTTATTTCTTTTTTTAATACAATTAATAAAATTTAAAATTGTAAAATGATAAATAAATATATTTACCTTAGTTACGCCTGCAGAATCACTTCGAAAGTTAAAGTCCCCGAATAGAAAATAAGGTACAATCTCATTGTTCTTATCTATATCGAATCTAGAAAAATGTTGTGACAATAGGTTTTAGTTAAATGGGTTAAACTATTGATAATAACCTTTGTAATGTGTGAATCAATGCCTTTCGCCTTCTTTGTGAGTAAACTGAAGGAAAGTCAATAAGTGCAGTTAAATTTGATGCATCATGAAATAAGTGCATATTTACAAAATCTAAAATGGTACCATTAATGTCCCAACGTGTTCTCATAAACCCTTTCCTTGACCATTTGCACTAGAAAGAGAGAAAGTGTATATTACAAGTATATTTATTTCTTTCCGTACAAGTTACCTCAGGAAAAAAATCAAGCGGAAATTTTGACTTCTCTTTCGTTGGTACATTCTCTATATTTCCAAAATAACAATTTTTCCCTTGTGTAGTTTCCCACGAGCTATTTGTGAAATTCCAAAGACGACTATTAGGTATAGTTTTATGACCGAAATACAAGTTCCCTAAAGCCTTTAAAAAATCGTTAATTATTGTTCATTACACCAATGAAATTAATTATAGAATCGTATTTACCGTAAACTGCTCCTGTGAATTAAAGTTTTCATCCAGATATATGCGAACAATGGAGAATTCTTGCATTTCATATGCTTCACACAGGGATTTAACAAACTCTTTCACATAATGAGAAGATTGCTCGTAGGTTTTACCGCCAACTTCTTGCAAGTGAAGAGCTATGAATTGCGGGTGTAGCTGCTTTATTGTTAAAATGAACTCATGAATCCATTGTTGCATCAACCTTGAAGGCTGCGAAAATATAAAAATGTATTAAGTACGAGTTCTCTGAGTGGAGCTTCATTACCATTAGAATAAGAGTTTATTTAAAGAGTTAAATTGTTACCACTAAAACTAACAATTCATATTACCTCACCAAATATTTAAAGGGTGTCTGAGCTTTAGTTAAGAAACCTAGTAAATATTCTATCCGCAATTCTATTAAGTTGATTGCAATATGACTATATGAATTTTTTAATCTTAATGTGATTATGAGTAAAGGGTATTGCTGGTTTTATTTTTGTTATTGATATTGAAATTGCTCTTACACATTAGATCAAAGTGAAATATCAAAAAAAAAAAAAAACAAGTAAGGAAGGGCTAAGTTCGGATGTAACCGAACATTTTATACTCTCGCAAAGTCAAATGGTATACTCGTTTGAGATTTCTCTGTGGATTGACTGATATTTTAGGTAGAAGGTCAACTATAGGCACTGGGGTCCACATATGTAGTACTTAGGGGCTTGAACAATTTTGGTTTGATTTAGACAATTTTTGGTCCCGATATAATCATTGTTGCTTGATATGCATAGTGGAAAGTGAAAGAATCAGATGGAATTGAAAATGGTGTTACAGGGGAAATAGGCGTGGTTGTAGTTCGATTTCGCCCATTTTCGCACTATAATATAGAAATATGAAAATAACATTATGTACCGAATTTTGTTGAAATTGGTTAAGCAGATCTCAGGATATGGGTTTTCACTTAAAAGTGGGCTGTGTCACGCCCACTGACTAATTTTGAACGCAGTTCCTATAAAGTCGTCTCATACCATCCCAGAGATAAAATTTAATGTCTCTGGCTGTTTAGTGCTTGATTTATCGCGCTTTTAGTAGTTTTTAACAGTACCGTTATATGGGGAGTGGGCGAAGTTGCCACCCGATTTCAACTATTTTCACACCGTCAATAGAAGTGCTAAAAAAAATTTGCTTCCAGTGAATTTTGTTATTATAGCATTATCGGTTTAGGAGATATGCACAATAAACCTATTAGAGGCGGGACCACGCCCACTACTTTATTATTACTTTTAACTGCAGATGCCCCTCCCTAATGTGATCCTGTGTACCAAATAACAGTCTCGTATCTTATTGCGGAGCTTAGTTATAGCAATTTATTTGTTTTTGATTAATGGCGTTTTGTGAGCGTGGCAGTGGTCCGATCACGCCCATCGGCAATACCAACCGTCTCACGGTACCAAGAAACATGTCTACCAAGTTTCATAAAGATATCTCAATTTTTACTCAAGTTACAGCTTGCACGGACGGACAGACGGACGGACGGACAGACAGTCACCCGGATTTCAACTCGTCCCTGTTCATTTATATAGGTATATATAACCCTATATCTAACTCGATTAGTTTTAGGTGATACAAACAACCGTTAGGTGAACAAAATTGTATACTCTGTACCAACAGGTTGCGAGAGTATAAAAACTAACACAAGAAGAGCCATTTGTATAAATTGGTAATAGTAGTAGTAAATATACAACTTAAGTAATTGATGCAAAATTGGTCATTACAGAAATGTTGAATTGTACAACATATCACAACTTCTTTGATTAACTAGAAAATATACAGGCTAAAAACTCCGAATTCGGATTTATTGGGAAAAAGATGAAAAAGATCTGGGCATGTTGCACTAACTTTTGACATTTCTCAGTTATACACGAGAGCATACTTTCAAACAATTTTATAAATACATATGTATATAACTCACACTGACCGACATATTCGGCATTATAAGTAGTATATGGGAGTTGAGGTAATTCGTAGATCAATTTCACATATTTTCGGCATTAAACTATGGTATAATAAATAAATTAAATAAAGTTAAATTTGCTAGAATATCTTACATATTGACATATATATAATTTTGGGGCTAGGGGAAGAATTGACTCTCTGTAGGCATACTATTCTCATGAAACGATTTTCTCCGAATTTCAATTATTATGTATATATTACACATTGACCGATTTTTTCGGTAAAAAGTCAGCTATAGACACTAGAGTCCACATCTTTGGTATCTGGGACTTGAACAGTTATGGCCCGATTTTGACAGTTTTTATACTTGAGTTGGCATACCTTAAAAGCATTATTAGTGCAAAGTTGTATCCCAATATATTCACTGGTGCCTGATTTGTATACTGGAAAGTAAAGGAATCAGATGGAACTTAAATTTGTGTTATATGGGAAGTTAGTTGGTTTTTGTTTTGTCCATTTGCACACAGAAGTATCAAAAGGATTTGTCCTGAAGAAATTAGAGAGATGTATCTGGAATAGTTTGGAAGATATATACATAAAACCTATTAGAAGGCGGGTAACGGGTAAATTACAGTCTTGTATCTTAACTTGCGAACTAGGTATGGGAATTTATAGGTCTTAGATTATTGGCAGTGGTCCGATTACGCCCATCTGCAATACCGAACCTCTTACGTTGCCAAGAAATATGCGCACCAGTTTCATCAAGATATCTTAATTTTTATACAAGTTACAGCTTCCACGAACAGACGGACGGGCAGACAGTCACCCGAATTTCAATTCATCTCGTAATCTTGACCATTCATATATATTCGCATATAACCTTATATCTATCTCGGTTATTTTTATGTGATTCAAACAGCCGTTAGGTAGACAAAACTATTGTACTCTCTGTTGCAACATGTTGGGACAGTATTAAAATATTGCATGAAAATGAGAGAAAAGGGGACAAGATATTCTATGTTAATTTTTCAATATGAACTCTCAATAGAAAAATATGGCATGACTGAATGAAAATCTAGTAATTAAAAACATACAAAGGGCTACGTTTGGGTGTAACCGAACATTTTATACTCTCACAATTTGCAAAGACCAAAGCCGTGGAAATACTTTCAGGTAATGTCAAAACTTAACTAACCCAACATTTTATACTCTCGGTATTTGCAAAGATCAAAGGCGGGAAAATAATTTTATTTGTTGCATAAATGTATTTTGAAAATAATCATAAATGATCATATTTGGTGAGTTATTCACTTATATTATAGTCCATAAACTCAGTTTCATTACTACACTTTGTTTCACTACAACTACGGTCAACAGCATTTTTATTAAATTAATTAAAATAAGAATAAAAAAGTTCTGCATTTGCTTTTATGTATACAAACTGTAATGCACAAACATTTTACATATAAATAATTTGTTAAAAGATACCGAACATCCATTTAGGATTCATTCTCACAAAAGAATTTTCAAACAGACTCGAAATATAATTATATTTCAAAATTAGTAGTTTTACTTTTCCTATCATGTTCCGTCGAGACGTTTGCAGCATAGTCAAATAACAGATTACCGCAGCTGACCATAGTAGTCAGGCCACTGAACTCATGCGTCAGCGGAATATGTTTGTAGAAAATGGGTAAAGATAAGTGCAGTGCAAGTTTTTTTATATTATTTGTGTACAATTCTTATGTGTTAACTGGTATACAAAACTTTATTTATTGCATTGTTTTTATATATAAAATTTTAGCTCAATTTTAATTTTTTTAATAGAATGTTGTTTGTGTACTAATAGTGTTTTGTGTCCAGCGTTATTATTTCCTCATCAACCTATGATGACCTTTATATTGATAGATAAATATTTAAGTATGTAGAGAATTGCAAGTATGATTGATTCATTTTTATAAGCCAAAGCTCCTACTTTTGCGAGTTTTAAACTACAAAAATCTATCTTTAAATATTCTACTTTTTAACATACCCTGCAGTACTGGAGGTGGCGGTTGGCCATGAGGTAAGGGATTAACCCGCTGCTTACTACATATGTGCTTACTATACTAACCCGATGGTAAGCGAACGAGCTACTAAATGTATCGTACATAGGTATTTATTTCAGTGAATCTATGGTTAGTGAACGCCGAGTCACCTAGTAAAAAAATGTATGTGTATAAAGGTGTAAGCGAAATGTAACGGTCAAGCATTGACTTTGTTTTTGTTATTTTGAGGCGAAATTGAAAACAGAACTTCGATCGCTGTTTGTTTACGCGTCTTCAATGCACCGTTCCTGTTTTACAAAAACAATTATAACGCAAAAACCGTTTATTTTATTTTGCTTTTCGATCTGTCGCATTTCTCAAAGGCAGTTTAATACATTGTATGTATTAACATTAATAAAATAAATAATTAATTCATAAAGTACGACACTCATATACAACACAAATTTAACTTGCATTATGTATAGTGAAAACCATTCAAGAAGGCTTAAGAGTATTGTACTTTTATTTTTAAAACCTTAATTAAAAACGCCAAGAAACAAGCTGTGAAGAAAAATATGGGTGTGTTCAAGTGAATTACCGCTTTACTGCAACCCTGTTACTAACTTAATACTCTGTTGTTGATATTTAGCTGTAATATTGTAGTAATTATTTCGCGCAGAACGTGTTGCTTAGAAATACGTAAATTTGAACGTGTATAATAACCAAAAACTGGGTTTCGTCACCACTTATTTTTTTGCTCTAAAAACAAATAACAAATTATATCGAACATAAAAGTAATGTTTATTACAAAATTAATTACAATTCCCTATCCATCTAAGCGCGCAGTCAAAATTTTTATTTTGCGTTTGTTATGCTAGTAATGCGCAACAATTTACCGTTAAAACGTGTGAACTTGGTAGTGTTGCCGGAATTTTCGCGTAAAACGTAACGCTTTCTTTAAATTAAAAAAAAAATATTGAAAACAGCTGAAACAAATTAAGTGATAAAGCTCTTAATTTATAGATAAAAAATCCAGCTGCAAGATTGTACTATCGAGTGCCTTGAGAAGACGGTTTTCAAACTTACCGAACAAGTTCGTTCCTCACGAGGTGAGTGTGTTATTTATTATTTAAATTAAGTCAATTGAAAATATTTTTATTTGGAGCCAAAACGAACGTAGCCCTCGATTGAACATTGTCGTAGATGAAATTCAGACTTTCAGAGCTATTAGTAGGTTTTAATGATCAAATAGAAAAAAACGACAACATATTTGGCGTCACTCTGTTACTCCTTTCAGGTGATATCAGATTGACACTTCCCGTTATTCCACGTTCAACATACGCGAATGAAATCAACGCTTGCTTAAAATCATCGAGACTGTGGCATAATGTTGAAAAAGTATAACTGACAGTGAACATGGGCTTTATATGCTTGAAGATCCATTTGCCAAGACTCTCTCAAAACAATTGGCAAATAAAAGTAGCTGTACATGAAAATACTGGATACATAAAATTATCAACGGATTTCTGCACAATCACCAACTCTCAAAATACTCTCATCGTCAATATATAATATTTCCCGATGTACACACAAAATATAAAAATCTTGAGTGGCAGAAAGATCGATTCTGTCAGCAAAACTTTGACGCCAATGGATTAAATCCACAGATACAACAGTTGTTACCAGGGGACTTGGTGTCAAACAAACCTATCCACGTCAAGAAAGGTGCGATTTATCCAATTGAGATTTTGAATTCATTGTTTGTTTGTGACTTACGATTTATCTTTGTTTATTTTTGAAATAATTAGTAGTAGAAATATGAACTATTTTCGATGTATAGGTAGCTATCAATAATTTTAATTTAATATATATTTGTTACTTTAATAAAGACTAATTTATTAACCTAAATAAAGTATACTTTAATTGTCTACAACTCTTCATTCCTCCTTAACTTACAATTACATCCCCCAAACACTTTAGTGTTAGTTATTTTTAAAAATAACAGCTAGTATATAATATATGTATAATTATATTTAGTAGACCAAAAAATGACGCAGGCTAAAATCGAGGTCCTTGTAGAAGCTTCCTCAGAGCAAACAGGAACAGTGAAAGGGGATACGAAACAGCAAGAACAAAGGCAGAATTTTCGATCTGAATGATTTAAACATGAAGATAAACACCGTTATTCGAGAGCTCTATAACGTACTTTTAAAAAACCTTAAACAAATAATGGCCAATCCAGTGGTATTGGCTTATAATATCGATGGCGTTCTAGAGAAAGCTGCCTTAAAAAATTATCGATCGATCAATTGATTAAACAATTAATTGTAGTCAACTTAATTACAATTTAAATTAACTTATTTTAATCAACACACATAATTAATTTTAAACTGATCGAACTTTTCTAATCTTTCTTATTCCCAGATGCAATAAGTTCAGTCCGTGGAATTGGACAAGCTGAGGACCAGTTAAAAAAGGGTTGAAGCTCCAGAAAAAGGGCCACATTAAAAACTGAAGCTACAACAAAATTAAAATAGATTCAGAAAAAAAATAATGCTTTAGAATAAGTAAGAAATAGTAAGGAAACATTTAAAATGAAGTAAAAATTTAATTGAACGGTTGTAATTGTTATTAATTTATAATTATTAATTAGTGATTTCTCGTGTATCAGTACTCCTTTTACAGACCGTTACATGCGGTCCTATGTAAGTACTCTTTTTACCGACCCTTACATGGGTTCTCATGAAAGTAATCATTTTTACCGACCTTTACATGGGGTCCTATGTAAGTACTCTTTTAAGAGACTAATATGGGGTACTATTTCACCAGTTCATTTTTTTCTTCTTTAATTTCATTCATTATTATACTCTCGCAACCTGTTGCTACAGAGTATAATAGTTTTGTTCACCTAACGGTTGTTTGTATCACCTAAAACTAAACGAGTTAAACATAGGGTTATATATATATAAATGATCAGGATGAAGAGACGAGTTGAAATCCGGGTGACTGTCTGTCTGTCCGTCCGTCCGTCCGTCCGTCCGTGCAAGCTCTAACTTGAGTAAAAATTGAGAAATCTTTATGAAACTTGGTAGACATGTTTCTTGGTACCGTGAAACGGTTGGTATTGCAGATGGGCGTAATCGGACCACTGCCACGCCCACAAAACGCCATTAATCAAAAACAAATAAATTGCCATAACTAATTTCCGCAATAAGATACAAGACTGTTATTTGGTACACAGGATCACATTAGGGAGGGGCATCTGCAGTTTAAATTTTTTTTTAAAGTAGGCGTGGTCACGCCCATAATAGGTTTAATGTGCATATCTCTCCCTAAACCGCTAATGCTATAATAACCAAATTCACTTGAAGCAAATGTTTTTAAAACCTCTACCTACAGTGTGAAAATTGTTGAAATCGGGTGGCAACTCCACCCACTCCCCATATAACGGTCCTGTTAAAAAATACTTAAAGCGCGATAAATCAAGCACTAAACAGCCAGAGACATTAAATTTTATCTCTGGGATGGGATGAGATGACTTTATAGGAACCGCGTTCAAAAGTAGACAGTGGGCGTAGCACAGCCCACGTTTAGGTGAAAACCCATATCTTGAGATCTGCTTAACCGATTTCAACTAAATTCTAGACATAACATTTTTTTCATGTCTCTATGTTATAGTGCGAAAATGGGCGAAATCGGACTACAACCACGCCTATTTCCCATATAACACCATTTTCAATTCCATCTGATTCTTTCACTTTCCACTATGCATATCAAGCAACAATGATTATATTGGGGTAAAACTTTGCTTGAATAATACGTTTAAATGCCACCTTGTGACCAAAAATTGTCTAAATCGAACCAAAACTGTGCAAGCTCCTTACTTGTTTTTTATTATCTCTTCTTATTATTGGCTAAATCACAAATCTGAATGAAAATTATGTTTATAATCGAGATACATTTTAATCTCTTTGTAATCTGTAACCATCCTAAATTTCGACGAACTCTCGTCAGTTGTAGCTTTTGTTTAGTAAATTATAATTTGTTAATAGTTTTATTCAGAAATTGATTTACAGATACAGATAGAGGATATGTACATTGTCTGCTCCATATTTGTAAGTGTCCCACTTTCAATTATTATTACCACCTTTACATCTGTTCTGAGTTCAAAAGTGGTATTAATTTAAAATTAGATTTCGAAATCATCCTTTAAATTACGTGCCACGTTGTTTCACCGCGCTGAACTTCTAAATTATTGAACCGATTAAACTTTGCACACTGTGCGAAGTTTGATCAAACTTGAACGATAGGATAGTTTATATCTGAATTTATAGTAGCAATAGTTTTTACTGCAAATTATTTGTTGAATAGTTTTCTAACATATAATTTAATATACACATACGCACAGCAAAGACCACGCAATTTTTTAAATTTTTCCTAACATAAATAATTATTTATTTTGATTTTCAAAATGTTTACATCTTCAAGGTTCTGATTCTTCAACAAGATATGTTTTTATATAATTTTCTTTAATTTGATTTTGAGCTTTAAGAGAATGGAAGAAAATTTTAAGCAAAATGGGCCGTCATGCGAAAATTGAAGAGTGAGAATTGGTATTAAGCCACTTCAAAATTGAGACAGAGCCGTACAGATTATATATGAACTGAATTTTCAAAAGACACGGCGAGAATTTAATTGTGCGGAAAACTAAGAAATAAGTTCATCGGTCCGATGGAATAAATTGTGTTTGGCGGAAATCCAGTAGTGAGTTCCAGAAATATTGTATCAAGTGTGGGGGTGTGACCTCAACATATTAAAAGAAAATCGGCAATCGTGTAAACTTCACTGATATGAAAGTGCCCACATTTAATGTTACACCCGGCTTAGTCTCCGGTGTTCAAAGATCCTAAACACCAATCCTTTATTAAACTGTATATCTTCACATATTTGATTTATGTTCACATTGATACTGTTACCGGTATATCGCTCAGAAAGGGATCTCTCCAATATTTGAATTTTTTTCGTTTACTTAAGATAAATAAATAAAGAAAGTGCAGACGACTTATAGTTTAGAAAAATTTTAAAATCCACTTTTAATATATTTATATCTGCCAATATATAATCTAGAATTTTATCCCTACTGTATTTTGAGGTACAAAGATAATTGAGTATAAAGAAAACAACGAAGCCAATTATTATATAAATATATAAATATTCAAATTATTTTTGAATAGCTGCATAGGTTAACGTATATATTATTATCCCGGTAGTTACTACTTTAAAATATTCTTATCCGAATTTGAATTTTTTATTGAACCGTGTACTTACATCTTCGAATAAAGTCCCAACGTTTGCCGTAACTAATAATAATTTTGAATTGTCCATTATGAAAACTATAACAGATTAGTATGAAGTATACTTTCGAACAATTTCAATCACTATTGATGGGATTAGGAATAACTCAGTATTCTTAGCTGTAAATAAAAGAGAGGAGTTTGCATATTAATAACAGATATATATTTTAATATGTAATTACTCCCTAAAAGCATTTTCATATGTACAATAACAAAGATTTAATTTATTTACAACATTGCGACATTGTGTCGTTTTTTTATTTTTAATTAAATATGGCTGCACGGAAGCAATTTCTTCAGAGATTGTAGCGAGGCCTGGGATAATAATCTGTGCGATACTTGTGTGCGATACTGTTGTTTATGACACATTTCGTTTTATATTTAGGGTATTCACAAGGTGTCATTTTGTGTCATATCGTCGTATTGTCTTATTTTTTTATGACTGTCATATCAACACTGTTTTTGTTTCCCATACAAAATTGAAATACGACAAATACAACACGGCGAGGTATGTTTTTTGAGTGTGCTATTCTATCAGCTGTATCTGTTTACGTTTTTTATTGTTGACGTTTAAGAGTCTAAAATTAATAAATTAAATAAATTTCATCAATTTCTTTAATAATATGGAAGGAAGACACGATATTCAGGTAAATTAAGTTGAAAAAAGTAAAATATAAAAATATTTTGTTGTTTCTGTGGTTGCAATGTGAACCAAAATGCCGCTGTTTCAATATAAAGAAGCTTTAATTTTAGTTTTGTCACTTTCCCGTGGCATTTTTGTAATCTAAAATTTTCATTACCAACTGGTGAAGTGTAGAAATATTACGTAATATGACATAGAACAATTAAGAGGTGTTCACAAGTATCGTATTTTTTAAGCTATTGAAATACGACATAAGACATAAGACAAAGCCTGTGAATTGCCTAATTAATTGTAAAAGAAATATATTTCAGTAAATGGTTTCAAAAGTATAAATACAAATTGGAAGAATTTCGCTATTTGGACTCCAATAAAGTCTTCGTATATTTCTTTTCAAGTAAAATAAATAAATAAATAGATCTAATTGTGTTGGATTTTAGTATTTATGTAGATAAATCGCCTTAACTTATCACCGACGTTTCCTTCTGGGTGTTAAAAACTTTGTGGCAAACCTAATATTATATACCTTGTTCAGGGAATAAAAAGATATTGCGTGCGTTTATAAAGCATTTTTAGCTAAGTTTTATTGTACTATTATATACATTTTGTAACGGATTTCTCCATAAATCGTCTACCTTGTAACGCACTCATGAGTTCGATCACTGGATTGTTAAATAAAAGAAAGTCCCAATTTAATGGCAATACACATATCTTTGTTTCTAATTTTACCAATTTAACGTTTTCATACCTGCATTACTGTCCACATTAGGTGACATTAGATTGTCCCGGTGTTAAAGTTTTTTACTTAGAACTATAACAAAGGAATATAATTGAATCAATGTGGTTTATATGAAAAACATTTCTTTGCTTAAAACAGTGACATTTAATTTCCTTTCAATAGCTGTTTTCATACTCTCGCAACCTGTTGCTACAGAGTATAATAGTTTTGTTCACCTAACGGTTGTTGGTATACCCTAAAACAAATCGAGTTAGATATAGGATTATATATATATAAATGATCAGGATGAAGAGACGAGTTAAAATCCGGGTGACTGTCTGTCCGTCCGTCCGTCCGTCCGTCCATGCAAGCTCTAACTTGAGTAAAAATTTAGATATCTTTATGAAACTTGGTAGACATGTTTCTTGGTACCGTGAGACGGTTGGTATTGCAGATGGGCGTAATCGGACCATTGCCACGCCCACAAAACGCCATTATTCAAAAACAAATAAATTGCCATAACTAAGCTCCACAACAAGATACAAGACTCTTATATACAGGATCATAATAGGGAGGGGCATCTGCAGTTAAAAATTTATTTTAAGTGGGCGTGGTCCCGCCCCTAATAGGTTTAATGTGCATATCTCCTAACCCGCTAATGCTATAATAACCAAATTCACCAAATGTTTTTAGAACCTCTACCTACAACCTGAAAATGGGTGGCAACTCCGCCCACTCCCCATATAACGGTACTGTTAAAAACTACTAAAAGCGCGATAAATCAAGCACTAAACAGCCAGAGACATTAAATGGCAATTTATTCTTTTTGATTAATGGCGTTTTGTGGGCGTGACAGTGGTCTGATTACGCCATCTGCAATACCAACCGTCTCACGGTACCAAGAAACATGTCTACCAAGTTTCATAAAGATACTCAATTTTACTTAAGTTAGAGCTTGCACGGACGGACAGACGGACACACAGTCACCCGGTTTCAACTCGTCTCTTCATCCTGATCATTTATATATATAAACCTATATCTAACTCGATTAGTTTTAGGTGATACAAACAACCGTTAGGTGAACAAAACTATTATACTCTGTAGCAACATGTTGCGAGAGTATAATAATGAAAGACATTATCGAAGCCAAATTTTTAATGGCAGGCCAAACGCTGTCTGTTTGTAGCTTAGATTTGGGTAAACCATGGACAACTGTATGTTGTTTGTATTTGCTAAACCGTACTAACCAAAAACATTGTACATTCCAATGCATTGAGAGATGAATCTTTGTTTATTTTGAATTGCCATAATTAGTAGCAGAAAATTAGTTATTTCAATGTATAGATAGTTACCAATAATTGTAATTAAATAAAATATTATTTTATAATATTTATCTTAATAAAGATATTTATTAACTTAGAAAAATACTTTAATTGTATACAATTCTTCATTCAATTATAATTACAGCCCTTTCCTAAAAATACTTCTTGAAAAACATTTCCTAAAAATGTCGTATATGGCAAATCAAATTCTCCGGTTCAGCTAGTATATTTATAAAATAGCTTGAAAATATGTTCCCAAGTATACCTTAACAATGTCAAAAATTAATTCAAGCAGCCCTTCCATCTCTCTGCCCGAATATATCCTATATAATGATTTCTGACTTTGAACTGTTAAGGTTGGTTAAAACGTGCGATATTTAAATTTAGTGGACACGTATTCTTAAAATTTAATTATATTTTAGTTTTTTTAACCCCATATCGATAATATAATTAACGGGAAGTAAAACATAGCAATAAAACTAAGTGAGTCTATGACGTTTAAAATCAGTTAATATGATACCAACAATTGTAATCTCTTCACGATTTCGTCGAACAATGAAGTTGAACACTTGAAGAGTGAACACAACACCTGAAGATATTTAGCCAGCTTTGATCCTTGTAAATTGCAAGAGTATAAAAGATTCGGTCACACCCGAACTTAGCCCTTACTTACTTGTTTTTAGTTTGAATCTTTCAAATTATTAATTGGGTGCCCACTTTAATGGGAAGCACATATTTAAGGTTTTGTGAATCACTTACACTCCGCGTGGTGTTACAATGAAAATACTAATATTTATAATAAATATAAAATATGCGAAAATTTATTTTTATATAAGTTTATGTTACACGTAATTTAAAATATAATAAAATGAATCACTTCATCCAAAAGAGTGCGGAACGGTGTCGAAGAAGATGGTCGGAA